CCAGCATGCAGCTGCACATTTCCATATGCTAGATCCGTGCTTTCTGCTGCATCTGAAGGTAAGAACATCTGGAAGCAGATGGGTACCAACAGACCAACTCGTGCAATCTATTCCTGCCATCTCTCATAAGTGTTTTGCAGAAGTAAACAACGAGACTCCCGTGGGAATTAATTCTTTTGGTGGATGGAGCCCGCTTGTAGCTATGTCCTTTGCAAAGAGCTGACTGGTCCTTCCCTCCTCCTGTCACCACATGTGCCTTTGCTGCAGCGTGAATGCTGTTTGGGACAGGTGACAGGGAGGGGGCTAGGTCAGGGTATTTCTGGGCAAGATGGAGACCAAATGTGGATTGCTGCCCTGAGTTTGCTTTTTGCTTATGGCTGAGAAGCTCTTGAAAACGAGGTGACTGGATGAAGGCTCCTAACAAGATAAAATTGTCCTGACGGGTTTGCTGTAACCTGGGGATTCTAGAAATCCTTGTTATTAGAAACAGGGAGCCTTTCTCTCTGTGCATATATATGCAAAATAATTCCTTTCTAGCAACTATTGCGTGTTGCTCCATTTGTTGTAGTATTGCCTGTTGTTTGATTTCTTTTCCACTCATATTCAACCTTTTTCCTGGTATTTGGATTACTGCTGAGTTTTCTCGATTCAGTTGATACTTGTCTCTATTTTAGGTTTGACGTGTATAATTTTTATTTTTTCATCTTGGTGTGTTCAGTTTTTATAGCTCTTTTCTGTTACATCAAAAGTCAACAGTTTGATTAAGTTCCAACTGTTGTAGCATATGTAGTCTGGCTTCATTATCTCCTGTTGCCTTAAACTGTAATCTTTAACAAAAATTACCAACGAGCATGCCAAATGTGCATGAGGGGTTGAACGATGTAGATCTGTGGGTGTTGTTTTGATTTGGAAACAGTGAAAATACCCCTCTTGTTTTCTTTATCTAACTGCTGCCACTGAAGACCACATTGCCTCAGGTTTGGTCCACGAGTCTGGAATCAGCTGCTTGTCTTTATTTTTCGGTGAATTGCATTATGTTTCTGAGTTGAAAATGCATGTGCCGTAGTAGGTAGGACAGAGTGGGCCCTCAGTGCCCGAGGACATAGAGTGTCCCTCACAATTCTTTTTGTATAAAGAGACAAAAAATAGGAGGAGATGGTAGATGAGCTGCACTGATGCCATGGTTTTGAGGTAGCACTGCAAAAACCAATTAAATAATTGTTTAAAAGAAGCAGAAACACAACTGTAAGATATATTCCTCCAGGTCTTTTGACTCCTCTTTTTTCCTTTTCTCCAGATGGATTCACTGGCCGTATTTATAGCACAGTTGCAGTGGTACAGCTCAAGGGGCAGGATGCTCTTGCATGAAACAGGAGTAGGACTGAATGTGGAAAGGAATCTCTCAGGCCAACCATGCTTCTAGAGGGAATGATTTATATGAAACTAGCCTGTGGACAGTGCACAGATGTTGGTTAACAATCAGGAAAAGCATCTGAGATTTCCCAGGCTCAAATAAAAATATAATAGACTTCAGAAACTGTTAAGAGATATGTGACAAGTGTTGAGCAAAGATAAAGACATGGAAGTATTTCTGTGCAAGCCACATGGCACAGAGTAGGGTTATTCTGCCTGAAAAGAGGTGACCAGACAGAAGCATGGAAATTACAGATAGGAGCTTGAGGTTTGTTTTCTCTTCTTCCATAAGAATTAGGTCAAATTGGATAGATCTAGCAATTGGCAAGGTGAGAACAGAACAAATTTATTATTTTTTTTACATAATTAACCCTTGAGACACATTGCCGCAAAATGCTGTAGGCATAAAACTTCCTGATTTAGACAGACACATTCATGAGAGGGTCTTAAGGGTCTGGGAGAGTAACTCAGCAGTATCAGTGTGTTCTTGCCCTATTCTTATGCTTTTCTCTACATTTATGAAACCTGTTTGGGCAGGTGAACCTGTGGTCTGACCCAGCACAGCTGCTATTTTCTAAAGTGAAAAAAATAGCTGCTGGCAATCGCGTATTGTTCTGATATCTACGGTAATATTGCTGTTCAAACAAATCTTTTAAGTTGGTAGTACGCCGGCAGTCTGGTCATTAAACTTTGTCAATATTTGGTTTGGAAAATAATTTTTATATTTGGTTTTATGTGCCCTGGAGAATTCTGCTGATTGATTGAAATGGTACTTACAGGAACAGGTCTAAATTCATGGCAGTGTAAGCGTGAAGCATTCTACGTAACTGGTTTTGTGCTGCTGCTTCAAGTTTCCTCAGCATGTGTGAAGATTAATTAGAAGCCAAGACTACTTCTTTAATTTCTTCTAAGTCCTGGATGGACCTCTTTTTAAGATTGCTTCTCCTATTGGGTGTGCATATGTGTGTGTATTGGTAGACAAAAAAAAGTTAGTTTTCTGGCAAATTGAATGTCTGGATGCTCCTGTTGGTTGTTGAATAACGTGATAATACTGATAGTCTCATCCTGTCTTGGGTTAAGAATGAAAATAGTGATCTGTGTCAACCATGGAGTGTTTTTGACTCAGTTCAGAGAGTTGTGCTGTCACTAGTATCGTGCTGCTTCCCTTCTCTCTTGCACACTTGCTAAGGTCCCACTGCCAATCAAGAGAGTTTGCACTTGGGTAAGCTAGAAACCGCAGAGGGATTTTTCAAGATCCTTTCGTTATATCTACTAGTTTAGAGAGAGGCCAAGTTTTTCTAAGGTGTTAGATTGTTTGGATTTTGTCTTTCCTATTCGTTCTTTTGCAGCATGGTTGGAAGCTGGCTGCATGAGGATGGTGGTGGTGCGTGTGTGTTTAGGATTTTTAAAATTAGAGAAATCTATTGTAAACCTGAAATCTCCAAAATAAACTAACTCACTTGCAAGGTGTACTCTGATAGCATAATCAAGCTTCTCTTAATGAGTGCTATCACATAGATGGAATAGTGAAGATTTTTTTTTCTCATAAAGTAAGTACAACATAGTAAACATTTATCGTAAAATAAGTAAAACAAACAACGTTGGCCATTCTGAATTAAGTCACAACGTTTGGGGTTTTTAACACAATTTTGAAGCTGGATAAATATACACGATTCCTTACCTTCAGTGTTTATGTAACTGAGGAGTTTGAAATACTGTATTCTAGTAACATGAAGGGAAGCCACACTTGTCTTCCTTAAGTATAAAGCTGGCTGAAGAAGGACCTTATGTAAGACTTGTTTTTCTAGGACAGTTTTTAGGAATTTTTGTAGTTATTTTATTTGCTTTGTCCTCGCTGCTTCATTTTACCTACATCTGGAGTTTTAAAAATTATGGGTCTGTGCAGCTCTGACAGGGTTCTGTGGGTTACAGTGTCTGTATGGGAAGCAGCTATAGGCTTTGCTGCATTCCTTTCAGCTGATGTATATCTGCCATTAACTCTTTCTGACGCTGTGATTGCACTTTTATGTTGGCTGGCAAAACTAATTTACTGCCCTTTCTCATCAAGCTACTGAGGCACATTTTCTGTCCCCAGAGATTAGTTTGTGACAAATGACAAACGATTTTGACACCTGTATGCTTTCTGTCCTCCTCCCTGCTATTATTCATAATAATGACTGTGCTACGCCTGTGTTTGAGTGATTATAAAAGCATCTTCTTGCTACTTACAGTTTGAAACTGTGAGTCAGCTTCGGATACTGTGATTCAGGTGGTTTCATGACTCCCAACCCGTGCAAGACCAACTTCCTTGTATTATTTTTATTTACCAGGTATTCTCATTGCATTCAGTCTTCTTGAACTATGTGCAGTGTTTCTGAATGACTGATACACTACATTGTGAATACCTTTATAAATGCTGAGAGGTAAACTAAATTCAGTTTTTATCCCAAAGCGTTTCTAGTCATCATTTTTCTGGTAATATATGTTGATCATTCTGAACAGAGTCAGTGTCTGGTTTTTTTAACACAGTTTTGAAGATAAATTCTGTAAGTAGAGTTTTGAGGGGTTTCAGTAATTTCAGTTTGAACTCTTGCTTATACAATTATAATACCAGAAAACGATGCGTATAGTTCTGTTCTCTAACAAGATTTGTTCTGTCTCCACCCTGAGAGAAGGTGTATAGATTTCTGAATTTGTATACATTTATAATTATGGAAAATAAATGCTCATTTATAAAATTATATTCTGAAAAGAATACGTCATTTGCCTTTAATAAAACATTTTTTAAGAGTCTCTGATAAGTATTCTTTTTTTCTTGACAGTCTGTGGTGGACGACTGGATTGAATCATATAAACAAGACAGGGACATAGCACTTCTGGATTTAATCAACTTCTTTATCCAGTGTTCAGGATGTCGAGGTACAGAACGTTGGCATCACGTTGTTTAGAATAAATCTGACAGTCGTACAAACGTTTGTTCATGCAAATGCTGTAAAGATGTGGGAGACGCGTGGATTGGTTCTCCTCCTATGCATGGTCTGTATAGAAGTATTGTCTACATTCAAGAATAATTTTATTTAGGATTTGTTTGTCAAGGACCTACCCTTTGTTTTTCTGACTTTCCTGTCATCATCCTAAAGTGGACAAATCCTCACAGAGACACTCTACTCGTCAGCAGAAGGAGGCAAAAGATCTGTTAATCAAGGTAGGTGTTATCTTTACTTCCCCTTTCAGCTTCTTACCTGTTGGGGTTTTTTTACAAGAATTAGTAGGTGTAGCTATATAACTTTGCTTTTTTTTTTTCTTTTTAGGAAAAGAGTTTTTTAAACTGAAGAGGGTTTTTTAAACTGAAGAGGAAGGAGTCAGCCTTCAGCTGACTTCAGTTAGCGAGAAAGATTTCTTCTGGAAGCACCAAATCTTTTTTCTTCCCCTGTAATATTGTATCAAGTCAGCAGCAAGTAGCCTGCCTTTTATACCCCATTTAAGCAGTCTCCATTAGCAGGCACACAGCAGTCAGTCTTTCTCACATTCTCTTGCCACACTGTACCTTCTAATGAATTTTTCATGTGTTGTCTTTTCTCAGTTAACTCAGCCTTAAAAAGAGAGACAGAGCTCTACTCTCTACAGCACCCAGAACCAAACTATTTACTGTGTCCTAATGCTTCATATAATTTGCTTTGAGTAGAGTTGAAAATAATCCACAATTCAGAAATTATTTTTCTTCATTTTATAACCAGGATGGGAATATACCTTTAGACATCAAATGATCCGTGTAGGAGTCTCTTTTCTTCCTTCTTAAGATGAAGTCTCAAGTACAGTTAAAAGCATCAGAGAAAAGAAACATGCAGTCAGCAGCTTCAGCAACACTTTTTCATGACTTAAGGAAATAAACTTGTTTTGTGGATGATATGAAAGGCTGAAGCTCTGGAGGCATACTGTGAAAGGACTGAAGCTTAAGAGTTTAGATTAGCAGCCCATGTCAGTGTCTGAACTGTTCACTCAGATTCCCTAAACTATTTTTCAGATTTGTTTGGCAGCTTATGTGAAAGCAGTTGTTTCCTCTTTGCATTTTTAACACTCTTCTAAAGATGTATATGAAAAAAATCCCCACAAGCTTCTTTCTAAGAATTTGGGCAGCATTACACTTAAAGGGATCCTTGGCCATGTGTTTTTATTCCTGTTGATGCAAGCTTTAGGTGGAGGCATCTCGTTTCATTCTCCTGCTGCTCTGTAATTTCTGCTTGCTTTCCTGCTCCTTGTTAGAGAGAGCAGCCCTCTTATAATCTCAGAAGATTCATATTTTTTAAACCTCTTGTTACCAACTGATGCAGGCTGAATGCCCACTGTCAGCCATATGCTGCTGTATCAATTGCTTCCCAGAAAAGCTTTTTGTTATTGGCTGTGAAGCAGCAGCAGCACTGCTTCAAGTGGCTGATGTAATTTACTTTTTTTTATGTTGATTTTTTTTTCTTTGGTTGTTTTTTTTTTTAATGGTGACCTTCTGTCAATTTTCAATGCTCTGCTTTGTCCTGATACCTCTCTGCTGAGCTGCTTGAGTAGCTTTCTGGTCCCAAACAGCAATGGTACAAGAAAGGAAACAAAAATAGCTTGTCCCCTGAGGTTATAGTATGTTTGGGGGATTTATTTCTGTGTTGGGATTTTTGCAGTGGGTAAAATAACAGCTGTAAAACAGGGTTAAAATCCTGGTAAACAGTTCTATTCTTTCCAGTTTCCAGTAGTATATCTGTTTTCTAGAATAAATAAAAACTTGTATTGGAAGAGACTGGATTTTATTGATAGTCCTCTTAGGGTAAAATGCGTGCTAAGCTGTTCTTAAGAGAAATGAGCTGTGGAAATCTGGAGATATTCTGTATTTTGTGAGGGAGACCAAGTTTCTTTTTCATGGGAAGATTATCTTATGCCATTTTTTTTTCCCTTTAAAGATTTTGTTGACATTCTTGTTTGTTTCCATTTCTGATAAATAGCAGCTCCTCCTGAACCTCAGTGGCTGCTTTGTCTTCCTTAGTATTCCCTAATTTTCTTCTTTTCAGCTTGCTCCACTAATATTGTCTCAGATTCTCCAGCCTTCTTTCCCAATGTTGGATCTAAATCCTTACTGATAATGTATCTAACTTTGTGATCAGTAACTTGAAGGGAGGAGGAGGTTCATCAGCAAACTTTGAAAATGATACTAGGTTTATAAATTTACCATTTAAACAGTGCTTAGAATTACTTGATAGCTAAATATATGTTGAATACACTTAGCCTGACATTTCTTTCAAAAGTTTTAAGCAGGTGAAGAGTGTGTGCCTGTTCTCTGTCTTGAGTTAGAAATCATTTAGGCACCAAACTGTTTTATTTAGCAACAGTATTGACTCTGACAAAAATACCTTTCTGTTTAGAGAAACATTGATTTTCATATGTTTATCTCATTCTCTTGGGCAGCACATATGCTTCAATGAACCTCTTAGTATCCTCCAGCTTTGCTTAGAGGTGTTCCTGAAATGAGAAGTGATCTCTTGTAAATACGAATAAGCAGGCGTGTTACGTAAATTATTAACACTAAAAAATTGTAAAATTAATGAATTTTGTAGATGAACTTAGATCTGTGCAACTTAAACTTGAATAAATGTAAACCAAATTTTCAAAAACGTCTATCCTTTGTCAGCTTTTCTGAGTACCTGTTTAATCAATTGCTTGCTGTATAATGTGTTCTGGTTCATACGATAATGTCCATTAAAACATGAGAGATTTGGTTTTAGCGTGGCTTCAGTAATCTTTCTCGGTTTTAAGGGATCATTTGGAATAAATTAGAAGTTTGTCCTGTTGAACTAACAAAATCTCAGTTCAATAAGTAGATTTACACAGGAGTCAAAAATCTTTTCTCGTGTCATGTTTCCACTAGTTTACCTACTCAATCTGTACGTTTGTTGCCTTTGCTGATTTTGATTACAAAGAAGTGAAAATAGTTCCTTAAAGTTTTTTTCCTTTATCTTGCTATTTGTTTTTTTTGTTCAAGAATACAGACATTTCACTGTTTGTCTGCGTAGGATTCTCCACGATGTTACATTGTATTTCTGTGGCAGGAAAAGGTTTAGCAAAGGGTGATAATTCACCTACTCACATTTTGTTTCCTAGCCTTTTAAAATGCATTGCTGCTTCTAGACGGAGGTTCTTGTATCAGATAGTGCCTTAGAAAGATGAAAATATTTGTTTTAAAATACTTTTTCTTCTTGGTAAAACATCAAATCAATACTGTTTTTCAGATCCTTGAAAAAAATCGCCTTGGTTGGTTGGCAGTAGTGCTTGTTTTCCCCGGTATTCACAATCTGTAAAGCAGGTGGTGGTGTATTTACCTTTTTACTTCTCTGTCAGGAAGTTAATTTAGGGGTTTGTATTTTCAGATAACAGGGAACTTTTTTGATGTTGCTTGTCGTAATGATAAAAGCAATTTTTCAAATAACTTTCACTTGGCGGGAGGTGGTGTCCATTTCACACGTTGTAGTTTGGTCTGTAGCATTGTGGATACAGGTGTGCAAAACAGCTGCAGATCAGCGTTCAGACTTTTATGGGGTTTTGTGGGAGATCTTTCCATTGCTGCCTTGTAGGAACATATTTTTCCTTTTTTTTTTTTGCCTTTTTTTTTTTGAACATATATGCAAAGCACAGCATATGACGCTGAGATCTCTGAGCTAGTTAGGAGCAAGCTGAAGTGTCTAATCAGCAGTATGTGTGCCCAGGTCCCACAAGGATTATAACTGTGTCAGGATGATGCTGCATCTGGGCTAATTAGCTCTGCCTCTCAGACTGAGTAATTAGCTCAGGTATCATGCTCTGCTGCTATGACAACCAGGCTGTTTCCATTTCTGGAGCTCTGTGGATTTAGAGCTGAGTTGGGTATCTGCGTTACTGTCTGCTTTTGCCTTCTGTTATTGATAGAAAACAAACGGAAAACTCCACAAGCACTCTGACCTTTCTACATTTTAAAGGCGGAGAGCTGTGCTTGTGGAATAAATATTTTTTTCTCCCTAAGCAGAAGCAGTTAGTAGCTGAAACAGCCTCTTAAGCTGTGAAGGACAAACCAACCCATTGAGTCCATGTAAGAAAAGCAGCTTTCTCTTGAAGGGGAAAAAGGTCTTTCACATAGTTGGAGAAAACTACTTGACTACATTTAAGTATATAATGAAGTTACTCCCATTCTTTCTCTCTGATCACTCTCCTTCCCTCTAATTTATTTTCTGATAGGTAAGGCAGAAACTTGTAAATTCTCAAGCAGATTTTCAGAAGTTGTTGAGCACTGCTTCTGCTGTCAGCCTTACCTCTATCAGACAGCTCTGAGACACCAGTTAGTGGTGGAGCAAAACTGGTGAAACTCCCTTACTCTTAAATTCTTGGTAGTCTTGAAGCCTCCCCTGGATTGTAAGGGGCTCTCTGTTTAAGTATTTTTGTGACTTGGCACACTGAGTTTGTTTTTAGGAGTAGTTGGTAAAAGAAACCAGGTGAATTTCCTTTGTATGATGTTTCTCATATCTTATTTTTCCTCTCAAAATCTTATGTTTAGGTTCTCATGTGGAATCAAATGTTAATAAGCCAGTGTTCAAACTGCCAGCTGTCAGCCTGGATGACTGGTGTTGTTTAAAGTTGATTTTTTTCTCCGTTGTAAGCAAGCAGGAATCTGTGTATATGAACTTTTTGCCCAGTGCTTAAAGCAGGACAACAAGGTCAACAAGTGCAAGAGTTATGAGTTAACTTGCCCTGAATGCAGGATGCATGCTCATTTTGATTTTTATTAATGTTCTGTGCCCTTAATTAAGGGTAAATAATATATTTCTGTTTTGCCAAAGGAAAGTAAAGGCTAAAACCAACAAAAAGCATTGTAAAGTGGCCATTGTGTGGTTTGGCAAAAGAAACGAACGAGC